AGAATACAGACTTAGTTTCTAGATTCACAGTCTGGCAGAAAAGATCAAAAGAAGTAGGTGACTTACAAAGGTGCAGACAGAACCCCTGCTGTGATTCTGGGCAAAGATTGGAGTTTTATCATATAAAAGGACTACAGGTTCCAAAGGTTTCCTGTCTGTGCCTTAAAATTCCAAGTTAATAACATCCTCCAGCAAACAGATCTCACAGGATCTTTCATATTCTATGTCCCAGGCCTGATCACCCTGAGGGTCTGCTATTACTGGTCTGGGCTGCACTGCCCCTGCTATTTCCTGCAGGCCTGAGTTAACAGAGAAGACAAAGGCAGCTAGGAGACTTGGATTTCTCATAAGGACTCAGACTTTGACAAAGCCGAGGGGGCGGGGGTTGATGCCATCACCCCTTCATATCTACAGCCCCGTGAGTCTCTTCCCTTAGGACATTCTTACGTGATCACGTCTGTCTTAATTCATTCTCTTTCTTAGAGAATTGTTACCTGTCTTTGACTGCCGATCATGCAAGGGAGCCAGGCATTAGAACAGGCAGTGTTCATGCCAAGGAAATAAGTTTTGTCTCAGTGGCTTCTGGTCCAGAGATCTTTCACTCAGCCTAAGTCACAGGGGATTACAGCTTCCTGAGACCAGGCAGGGTGGTCCCCAACACCCATATAACTTTTGACTCTACAGTATGCCTTTGGCATTCTTAGAGTCAACCAACCACAGGGTTAAAGCAGTATGTTTCTATCTGCGGGTGGGAATACTCAGTTGGGAATTCAAAAATACTGTTTTTGATCCATGGTTGGTTGAGTCTATGAATGTGAAACCCACAAATATGAAGGGTTGAATGTATTTATTGAAAAAATATGACTATAAGTAGATCCATACAGTTCAAATTCATGCCATTCAAAGGTCAGCTGTATAGAAATGTATGAATTTTCTATAAGAATAGCACCACTGAAATAGCAGCTTTGCACCTGACTCAATCACAGTGATTAACTGAAGTGCATGTCCATGACCTAAGTTAGACCTATCAGAGTCCCCTCCTGGGAGCTTGCTGTGATGATCTCTTTCTTTTCTCATTGCTAAGTTGGAAATATGTGAACCAGTGGCCAAGGTTCAACCTGTATGGAAAAATGGTCTATGAGAAAGAAGCCAATCCATCGTAAGGTGATGGGATACACACACAGGAAGAAAGAGTCCCAATGGTCCCAGCAATTTTGGCTTCAAAGTTTTTGAAGATATTTCTATCCTAGCCTTCTTGGGTCTGGGTCTGAGACAATTTCCTTTGCTAATATAAGGAAAAGTTCAGTTTCTGTCAGATGGATAAAAGGTTAAAAAAAGGTCATGTATATTGGCTTTGAAGGTTAAGTAAAATAAATTGACTGTAGTTGGAAAAAAGGGCGAGAAGAGATCTGTGAGGTAATGTCACTTTATTACTATACAGTCATGTGCAGAGTTATCTAATTGTTCCTGCTGGGAGGATGTTTTACTACATCTTGTGGTATATCTACTCCATAATGTAGAGACTTGCCTAGAGTAGCCATTTAGAAAAAACCTGTTGAGGGGTCTTGTTCTTATGGTACATCCATATGTGCATACATATTAAATTTGGTTAGTTTATTATGTTAAACATTTGTTGAATTAAGTTAATTTTAAAATACACAGACATGGCAAAACTTTATTTATACACTTATTTCCCTTGTAAACTATTTGTTGAACAACTACTTTTCAATAGACTGTTATTTTCACTCAGGATACTATAACAGGTGTTTGTACTTATTCTTCCAGATCATTTCTTGTTTTGTTTTGTCTTACTGATATGTATAGATGTCATAGGTATCTGTGACTGCAAAAATATCATAGGCAGCCATCATGCCCAAAGCAGCTGATACATAAAAAGGAGACATTCTCCAGACAAATGGAGACCACTCCAGAAACCATACTGGTCACTAGTGGTGTCTAGCTCCCAATTTGTATACCCTAGATGTAAAACATAACAGAGAGCGAGACAGCTTCATGATCTTCAAGGCTTAATCTAGCTAGAAAAGAAACCTTAAGTTTGGTTTTAGTCTCAGGAGTGTGGTCTCTTTCCAACAGCCTAGAAACTGGTTAAAATGCAAATTTCAGGCTCTACCCCAGACAAGCTGGATTTGGTGCCCTGGGTAGGGAAGCGAAGGGGTTCAGCAAGCTGTGTTTCAATGCCAAAGGCTGAGGACCACTGCCTAAACCTATGTAATACTTCATGGTCAGTGTACATAAGGAGAAATTTTTTAATGTTCTCTATGTTGCATTTCACAACATTTTCTGTTCTAGATGTCATGTCCTTCTCTGACACTCTCCACCCTGGCCCCTCAGTTAAAACTATTTTACTCAGACAAAAATGTCATTTTCATGTTTTCAAATAATTTTAATAACATTATTGAATTTTACAAGCAAAAAAGTTCATGCAAAAGAAAATCACAAGTCTCTACTGAGAGTGATAGTATGTATATTATTCTTTTTATTAGGTAGTGTATCAATAAGAGCCATAACCAACAGGATGGGACAAAATATTTTGTGAATATTCTTGAGCTCTTTGTGAACTAAAAATTATGTCAGTGTCATAGCATTTACTTATGTAAGTTATTAGGGATCATTTGCAATAGATACACACACACACACACACACACACACACACACACACACATGAATACTGATAAGTGCTTGTAACAAAAAAAACATCCACTAGATGATCTCCTATAATTATCCAATCTTTCCTACTGCAAAACTCAGAAAAAGATGAGTAAAGACAGAAAGAATAACATGCTGGGTGCACAATCGCTTCTCTATGTAAGACCTCCCTTTCCTATTTAGAAATATGTTATTCTAAGATTAACAAGTGATATGGTTTGTGTATGTATCCATTTGTAGCTAGCATTAATACATAAATTTATGGACAAATTCATCAAACATTTTATTAGGTGTTACTTTTGCTGTTTGGTCCCCATAATTTGGCTTTAAAACATCATATATACTTATCTTTGAGAGAGCATAGTATGAGCCAAAAGAATAAAATATTTTTCCAGAAGAGTAATAAAAAGTAAGGAGTAAATAAATGTTATTTATGTCCATGTGTCCTTTTCATCCTGCCCCTTTTCCCTAAATATTTTTAACTTTATCTGTATAATTTTCTCTTTTATGAATATTTTACCCATGCCTCCTTAATGACTGGAAGGCAGTGGTAGCTACTACTGCTGGGACCTACCAGCTTTTCAGTGTGGGTTTGGAAGCCCACTTTACCTTCTCCCTTTCAGTTAATTCCATACCATACTTAGATGTGGAATACAGACAGGTGATAGCCATTATTTAAGAGTAGATGGTGATGTGGGTGTGGATGGTGTGTTTTAGAGTAATAATTATGATTTGATTTTAAGCCAGAATAGTTTAGTTCATTAATAACAATGAATATCATAGGGCAACAACTTGCTTTCTAATCTTCAGTGAAGGCAATTCATAATATAATGGAAATATTCTTATACTGTAAACTGTTTTTTTTTATCTTCACAACTCTTCCCTAAAATCATTCAGCTTTGAGGTTTTGGAACTTCCCTCTTCACTTGTGTACTATTGAGATCAAATATTCAAATCTTGGGGAGCAGCACCTTCTCTTTTTTTGTGTCATTTCTGACCATTCACCTTTATTCAGATATGAAAAATAAGAATATCATTAAAGAATAGTGTGGGCATTTTGTATACCTGATAGAATTATTTTTATGTTACATTTTTGTAAAACAATACATATTTTTAAAGAGTAACTTGCAGAGATAAAAAAGAACTTCAAAAAAATCTATTCTTCCAACCTCAGAGAACTCAGGAATATTACTCATTTAACACTTGTAATTATTTTTTCTCTTTTCTCCTCTCCACTTTTCTTACTGCACACTGGTTCTTTTATTCTTTCTTTATTTTAATTCCCTTCCAGCAGCCTCTGGTTTCCACCTCTTTTTCCATTGATTTTTCAATGCCGTTATTCTTTTGAGACCATCTGTAAGTTTCTATTTTTAGTCCTGCTGTCTCTTTCTTCTTTCATATTTCAAATATGACTCCCAAAGATTTGTCAAGATGAATTGTTCAGAATGAAGACGGTGATTGATTATGATGGACTTAAGGAACGAGGAAGAGAAGAGTTGTCAAGATTTTCTTCATCCAATAGAAGTGCGTTGGATAAACCTGGGGTGTGAGAAGCAAGAAACAGAAAGCCCTACTAAGACATGACTCAAATGGGAAATCTAATAAAATAATGATTTAGAGTAGTATTTACTGAAGAAAATAAAACAAACCAGTCTGCCAGGTTAGTAGCTAATAACTCATGAGTTTGCTACTAAGGAAATTAAAACTTGAGGTAATAAGAATGGTAGCCACCTACTGATAATGAAACTGAAGGCTTCCTATTAACTCCCCTCCCTGGGTCCTTTGGACAGAACAGTCAGAAGGTCATTTCCTATTTATTTAGTAGCAAAAGACTTGAAATGGAAAAAATATATATAGAAAAATGTCGGAGGCAAACTCTTATTCAGCTCCCTCAAAAGGAGATTCAGACAGGGTATTTTTACCCCTTTGGACAAAACATGGCATCAGCATAGGTCACGAAAGAGGAAGGACAGTTAAAAACATAGAAAAAGAAAAAAGGAGCTGTCGCAGATAAGTACAGCCAAGATGACTCATACAGTCTCCCAGGGGATTTTTGATGTGGGGACATCAAGTTAATAAATCCACTATAGCTTTGTGGAATCCACAGGGCTAGGCCATCTCTTTCAAGAACTCTTGATTTCCTGTTTCTAAGGGGTAAGGGGTCGCTATTTTTGCACCCCCCCAACACACACACACACACACACACACACACACACACACACACACACAGAAGTGAGAACACTTCTTTCGAACTCCTAGTCACTTTGAAAATGATTGGAGGTCTTCGGGGCTAAACATTTACAGTCGTTTTACTGACCCTAAATCCAACTCTTGACCGCATCTGTGAGTCTGTCTGTATTGATTGATCTGAAAGCGTGCTGGGGATCCAGGTCTCTGCTGGCGGTGAGGCAGAAGGAATCCAGGCTGATGTGAGAAGACACTCAGCAGTCTGCGATGCAGAGAGCATTTCAGGATCAAGACCTGGGGGTGGGCACGGCAGGAACTTCGCTGCCCGCTCCCTGATGCCCAGGTGCCCGGGGAGAGATCCTGGAGCGAAGTGCCAGGGGCACCGCAGCTGACAGCCCCGGGCACCACGGCCCGCGGAGCTCACTCCCCGCGGGGCGCGAGTGCGAGTGTGCGCGAGAGCGGCGGGCGGCGGCGGGAGGAGGCGCAGGCGCGCTGCTCGCCCGTCTGCAGCCGGGCGCCGGGCGCCGAGCGCCGCGGCTCGGGGAGTTGATGGCAGCACCACAGGGCGGCCGCCGGGCCGAGCGCCGAGCGCAGCCACCCGCCGCTGCCCAGGGAGCGTCCAAGATGTGGAGGGATCCGGGCGGCAGCGGTTGCAGCAGCGCCAGGGACCGGGGCGCGCAGCAGCCTCCGCTCTCCTGCCTGTGCTGACCTGCCTCGTTTGGCCCCAAAGAATGTCAGCCAAGTCCAAAGGGACGCCCCCCTCCTCCTCTCCAGCCAAGGGACCACCGGCAGCCTCCAAAACCAAGGTGAAGGAACAGATCAAGATCATCGTGGAGGATCTGGAATTAGTCCTGGGCGACCTGAAGGACGTAGCCAAGGAACTTAAGGAGGTGAGAGGCACAGGGGTGGGGAAGGAGTTCGTCGCCTTTTGCCCCCTTGGGGTTTTCGGTCCGCTTTTCACTGGGAACCGGCGACTTCTTAACTCTTAGGAAACTGTAGTAAGAAGCCTATAGACGGACTTTCTTTGCTCCGGCGACTCCTGAGAAGAGTTGTTGCACTTTTTAAATTTTTTTAATCAGGAAGAAATCAACTAGTGTTTTAATGGATGGAACTGGGATGGTGGGGTGAAGGCGCGCGTGTTTAGGTGTGTGTGTGTGTGTGTGTGTGTAGTGTCGGGGGAGGGGGGATAACGGGGGTGTGTCGACAGAGGAAGAAATGAGCAGTCCGGCTGGGGTGTGCGAGATGCCCCTCTCCTGCCCTCTTTCCCCCACAGAGTCCTTCGTTAAGTCACTCCTTGCCTGGCAGCCTCCTCAAGCCCGGGCCGAAGGGGGTCCGGGTCCGGGTCCGGGCCCTGGGCCAGACCGGGGAGGGCAGCTTGGGGGAAGCTAGGCTCTAGCTCTCCCCGATTTCCGAGCCCTGCTGGAAGGAAGGCATGCCTGCTTCTGGCAAGGGGTACCCAGACTTGGGGATGTGGAAAGGGTCCGGGACTTTCTCACTTTCGCAGTTTCTGAGGCTGCCTTACCCTCTTCCGAATGTCGCTCCTAGTAACTCTGGGCCTCTCCCCCCACCCCCTTCTTCCTTCCTCCCATCTTGTCGCCACTTGGCGCTGAACCTGGGAGCTTGGCGCATTAGTGTATGTGTGTTGTGCGTGTGTGTGTTGTGCCTGTGCCAGGGTCTTGCCACTGGCGTCCTGGCTCTTGGGAACCCGGACTGTTTTTGCTTTTTTCCCGCTCCCCACCTATTCCTCTTCTGCCGTCACCCCCCCCCCCCCAACCCCCGTTATCTGGATAGAAAGAAGCGGAGGCAGAGTCAAGGCTGAGGCTGCGTAAATGAGGCTGCCGCTCCTGGCGGGGGCGAAGGCTGGCTTGGGAGGGGTGGGGTCTCCGCGAGCCTGGCTGGAAGCTGGTGGAGTCGCGGAGCTGGTGGCGGAGTCTGAGCCCGCTCTTCTGCTACCGAATGGGCGCCTGGTGTGGTCCTCGGTCAGGGAGTCCGTACCCGCAGTTTCTTCAGAGCTAAGACTAACTTCTAGGGTGGTGGTGCTGGACGAGGGAAGGGAAGGGGTGGGCGCTTCGTCTAGGTCCAAATTGTAATCTTGTTTCTGAGGCCGAATGGGAGGAAATTGAGGGTTGTTTGGATGCCCAGCCTCTAGAAATTAACCTCCTCTACCAGTTTCCAATCCAAATGTGAGGCAAGAGTCCCTCCGTCCCTCCTACCCCCACCCCGTCCTTCCTTTCCCTGCTCTTCATTACCTCTATGACCAGAACTCTGCATTTATTACCAAATGCAAGTCTGTCAAAATGGCCCATTCATGGGCAGAGTTCTGTTTGTCGTGGCAAATGCCATTCCTGTAGGTGTTCCACAGACAGAACATAATTATTACTGAAGTCCTGAGAGTGGAGATTGATACAGATGATAGATGTGAGGATAGAACTTGCTCATGTTCTCGGGGCTTCTCTAGGATCATTGCTTCACAACTGGTTGACAGATGGTGAGGTTATGCATTGAAATTCAAGTCTAGAGATGCTGTTCGTTTCTTTGTTATTCTTTAATTTGACATTTTTGGCAGGCTGTGTTTTCATCCGAACCATCATGGCGTTGTAAAAATGAACAAATTTGGGCATGTTCCTTTTGGCAGAATCGTGCTTTATAGTTGTTGAGGTTTCTGAGGTGGGGGATATGGGAAACCTGCATCAACACAGTAAATACGTTACTGTCTTAGCAAGGAGGCTGAGCTTCAGATGGGGATAGTCAATCAAAACTCTACGTCGCTGGGCACATCCTTCCTTATGATGTGTCACTCTATTCCCTGCTGCAGACAGAACAAATGACACGAAACTGCATATGGTCTTGTGCTATCTTGCTTCATTATTCTGTAGATATGTGGACATCAGTTACACCTATAGTGAAACTTTTAACCCCCCTGAGGGTCTTGTATAGAATCACAAAGAAATACACCAGGGAGTCTGGAAATCTGTTCTTTTCACTCTCTCTGTGTCTTCATTTACTGGAGAATATTTAAGGGGGGAAACATAGTTTATAAAAGGAACGGAAAAGCATAGATAATGTACAACCAAGGAATGAGAGGATCTATCTTCTGGACAGATAAGAGAGAAAATTTTGCTTGATGCTTTGGAAGTTTGATTGGCTGCCAGGGCCAGTAGGGGTAAAAACCTCACCTGTAAGATTGACATTTGTAAGTAATAAATGATGCAAGGTGATTGATAATTATTTATGGGAGGATATCATCATCCTAGGTTTGCACATGGAATTGTATTATGGTATGTCTGAATCTCAAAACATTGACAATTTATATAATATGAATAATAGTTATTTTGAGAACAAAATGTTTATAGGGCATATTTAACCTATGACCTTTTGCAGTTGTCCAGCATTTCTCTTTTAAAGACCGTACTGCACATGTGACTGAGCATGTCTGTGATGCAGTTTTGAATGAAGGAGTAACTGAAAACTTAATTACAAACCTTGTTAGTTTCTATACCCGTGACTTACAAATATAAATGTCGCTGTAAATTTATCAGTTGTTATACTCAATATTCTGGCGGTATGTCATTAGTATATACTAAGTATAAACTGTTTTATTTAGAATTCTAATTCCTTTATTGGTAATGCCTTTAGGCCTTAATATATTTTGATAGTAATGAGTAGAGAACTCTTATTAACTTGTAACAGAAATTATAACAAAGTGATATGACTACATCACTATATCAGACAATATGATACTCATTTTACTTTTCTGCTTTTTTATTCTATCTAAAGTACGATATATTTAATTTTGCATAAACTCTGCACCAACAGTATTGGAATTTTGTTTGAAGTTATTTTGAAATTGCTTTTCCTTTTAGAAGTTTTCTGGCCTTTAGTCATCTGAAAACTCAGGTATTGTGGTAGATTTGAACACAATAATAGCTTCTGGGAACACTGATAATTAGTAACAAAACTCCATAATTATTTTGGGTGTTTTTTATGACCAGTTATTTATGATTCAGTCATTTATAATTAGATTATATATTGGAAGAAGAGGAACAGGATTTCTAGAAAATCTGAGGGCCGTTTTATTCTTCCCTCAGAATTTAGAAAGAACTTTGAATAACTTGACTTTCAGACATAATAGGGATCTTTTGGTCTTTTGTACTACAATGGGAAAATGTAAGTAAAATTCAGCATTTTTATTCAGCACTTTCTATATATTATGTTATTTTTTTATTGTTACCCAAATGAATAAGTTATCATTTCTGGCCTCAGTGAGCTCAGAATGTTGGTTTGGGATGCATTTATCATATCTTTGAACATCAGCAGTGTAAACAGACATTACTGCCTTAGCGGCCACTCTCACTATGATCTAATAAGTTTGGGAGAAGTAAGCAGAATTGAGAATAAGAGTGAGCATATGTAGATTAATGAGCCCATGCTTGCTGTGTACTTAGTAGTATGATAAGCCTTTGGTAAATAGAGTAGAAGATTTTAAAAGATAGGAATTTTAAGAAACCATTTATTCAGATTGCCACGATTAACACAACAGGATCAACGCCTCAGTGCCAAGTGTTACAAGTAAATACTGGAGATTTTTATGAAGGATATGGTTTTGGGGGGAATAAAAGGTCAAAAAAGATTTTTGATCTTTCTCTGATATGTGGATAAGATTTGAAAAGGTTGAGAGAAGAAGGAATTAACAGGAAACAGAAATAGGAATTAACAAGAAATTAATCCATATTGCTTTTTTCTACACATGGAAAACATTACTGGTGAAACTCTAGAGTTTTAGGGATGAAATTAACTATTACTGGTTTTCAGGTGTGTGGTGATTTATTTTTAGAAATGTAGAAAAAAGAGCTTTTTAAAAATAGTTGTCAAATAACCTGACATCTCTAAGTACTAATTCACCAGTTCTTTTATGAAGATCTCACTGGAGACCTGCTTTGCATCATATGTTGCTGTTACTATGGGATCACAGATCTCATTAATTAGAGGGACACTGTGCAATAAACAGCCTTTGATTTGGAAACAAAATTCATTGCTGATTCAGGTGAATTCTGTTTGAGTTTAAACTGATTATAACCTTGAACATTTTTCTCAGTGTTTCAATTTATGATTTTAAGTGGCAAGGCTGATCTATGGGTTGAAGATATATACAGCTACATCTTATGAGTAGACAGGACTCTTACATAGGAGCCAGGGAACCAGTTAACATTCGTGTCCTGGAATCACTCAGGGACTTTTCTGTGGGAAGGTATGTCGGCACTGTGGCTATGGATGGCAAAGCACCTCTGAGTTTTCATAAACAAAAACAAATTAAATTAAGTTTAGTTTTGAAAAGCTTGAAAATCTGTAAGAAACCATTTGGGAGCTGATTAAAAGAGAATTAACAACTATCTTTTTTAGTGTTCTTTTTTAATGGTTTATCTACTTGAAGTTGTGTAGTTTATTGCTCTAGGAAATCCTACTAAATATTTTTTGGTTAATGAGTCCACTCATATAAACTTAATTATTAGAACAAATTATAAAGAATAATGTGTGGATTGTTTCCTAAGTTCTAAAGTTACGAGTGAATGAAATTTCTCAGTTCATTCAATTGTAGCAATAGCTATTTCTTCCTACTCTACTCAACAGTCTAACCCCTAAACTGGAGTATATTTACCAAATGCTAAAATGCTTTTTAATTTTTCTTTTAAGTATGATGGCTTCACATGTTACTGAAAAAGCAGAATGGTTCTGAGAAACTGAAGATAACCAGTGACTACCTTTCATTGATTCTATTGCCAACACCTAAAACCCTCTGAGACTCAGAGAATTAGGTGATAAGAAATTCAGGTAGCCTTAAAGTAATAATAAATGTTTGCTTCAGGCAATAGTGAAGTAATAGATAATAAAA